GTTTAACATAACCGCAAATGTACAACGTTTCGACATCATCAGGTACATTTGCTGTTATGTTAAACTTATATTAAAGTTTTTCTTCATTACCCATTCAAGCCGTCTCCAACCATTATTAGTTTCAAGTGGGTTCCTCGTCATTGTATTTTAAGTTAATTAGACTAAATCATTAAAATTGTTCCATTACCTCTGGAATGCTCTAGTACTTAATAATGTATAAATAATCCTCCAAACAATTGTTCAAAAGGTTCTGGAGCAGTTTTAAGATTTGGAAAATTTGGGGAGAATTCCTTGGTGTTGGAAAATCATAAAAAATGAGAATTAAATGGAGAAGAAAAAAAAAAAACACATGCAAAGAAAGGGGAAACAGAAAAAAAGAAACTGTGCAGACTACTGGGTTTTACTGCCAAAGCCACACCATGGCACTAATGCAAGCCATTCAGACATAATGGAAGAATGTTTGGAGCTCTGATGGAGAGTACAAGTAAAATCTGATTTTTTGGAAGAATACTTACAAGGTGTGAAAGATTCTTATAAAATCATGTTTAGCATAACATAACATTTAAGGACAACAAGAGACATGTTTGTCCATCCAGGCCACTAACCTAAACTAGAAACAGGAACTCAAAGCTAGTGCTTGTTATTCAAATATTTATCAACCTTTTACTTAACTTTACAGCATCTACCTATCTGAAGACAGGCCATTCCAAGGGTCAACTACCCTGTTAGAAAACTAACTGTCTTAGCTGAAGACCAATCCTACACTTGCCAATACTTACACTTAAACAGTCCTATGCAATTTTGATTAATGCTACTGAATACTTCCTTAATTAGTCTGTGGGACTGAGCATTTGCTGCAATGATGTTATGATCTAGACTCTTCTAAACTTGCATACTCATTAGCCAGTTGCAGATGGTTACGTACATTGTGATAAAATGTGCTCACTACTATTTAGCCTTTTATCCAATGAACTCAGATCCTTCTATATCAACTAAATAAATACTGTAATATGTAAATCAGGCAAATCAGCAGAGAAAGAAAGTTTTGCATTTGAATAGTCATCCTAAACTCAGATTTATTTACATGTACAAAGTTACATACAAGAGTAATAGTTACGCTATATCTTCACACAGAAGTTTTACTATTGTTCTAGCACAAAGCTTTATATAAAAATCCCACTCTAACCATTATGTTTTTACAGATTACCTTTAAATAATACTAGACATGTCCACAATTTTAAAAATTAGATAACATCATGCATTCAAATACACAAAATATTTTATGTATGAACTATAGTAAACTCATGGCACAGTTATGTGTAAGTAATTAATTTAACTTCATTGATTTGTGGTTGTGTATAACATTGTACAATTAAATTTGATTTTAAATATTCAAATTATGTTACACTCCTCAAACAATAGTAAAACAAAAATCATTTGTATTTGGATAAATTTTATATATCACCTACATCACACTTTATGCACTTGCCCAATATTATAGAAATAGTTTGTGTACTTGTGTTGGAAGGTTATCTTCTACTGTTTTAAAAAAATGATTTCCCAAAAGACCTTTTCATATACATTTTCTATGTGCACAAATAAAAACATCCTGTTAAGTGGAGGATCAAAATCTAGTGTTAAAATAAAGATATACTTCTAAGTGGATAAAATACCAATTTTGACAAGCTGCTGAATGTTTATGTTTAATACATTCAACAAATTTCAACAAATGGTAGAGCTTTAAGCCAGATCATCTACAACTACTACATACAGCAGATACTTTAGAGGCCTTTTCAAAGTTTTGAGAGTGTAACTTTAACATTTGAAATCTTACATTTGATAATTTGCACACTCATTCTAACAGCCTACCAAATTTTAGAAAGAACAGAAAGCTGGAGTCACTGGTTGAGTTGGAATGGAATTGTGCAATATTTGTAACTGTGATTATACGTTAAAAAAACTTTCAATTTAACTCTCTCAACACGGAGTTGGTCAATTTGACCAAGTCACATGACCTTCTGTACTCATTTAAAGTTGATATAAATTTAATACCCATAACTCTCAATATATTGGGTATATCTTCTTGAAATTTGGCAGTCTTTCAGTTAATATTACAAGTCTTTCACA